CATTCTCAGCCCTAAATTATTATTTCAAGAATGATCAACTCACAGACAATGCCCTTCCAGCTAGTAGGAAAAGAAATGAGAAGTAACCAACGGATGCACAAACAAAAGCCTTGTCTGGAAAAAACCAAAAATCCAATCAAGCATTACGAAGCATGCAAATTGATATTGGTCATTATCCGAGGAGCATAGTTATCAAGGCGTCGCCTAGGCGTCTGGGCGAGATATTGGAGACGCCAAATTGGTCGTCTAGCTTTTTCCGCCTAGAATTTGACTTGTCATCGATTAAAACGCGGCAGGTTACCTGGAAAAATCTGAATCGCAGCAAAGATCCGGAATCGAAGGTAAAAACGTGGATCCCAATCGTATAATCGTCCAATTCAGGCACGATTCGATCTTTGAAGATGCGATGCGGGTCGGGCTAGGAAGTGAATTTGCTTCTTGTCGGCTTAATTAAAAGATTTACGAGTAATTGCCGGCTACTTGCGGGTTACTACTAATGACCCATTAAAAAGTAAAAGGAACAAGACTTTAAGGGTCGGGTCGGGTAGTTTATACACCTAAATTTATTTTAGAAAACATAAATGGGTAGTGGGGGTACTGTACACTAGGAACTACTCTAAAAATTAAAAGAAAAGACTTTGTGGGTACTGTACATTTATGGAGATGGAGTAGTGGGGGTACTGTACTATGAACTATTCTGAATATTGCAGTTTCTAATTACTCGTACTATTCTATACCTAAAGGTTTTGTTCTTCATCTCGTTTGGCATCTGACTTGATGAGTTGCTTCTTTGATTTTTTTATACTCCCTATTTATATATTATCAACATTTTGATATTTATTTTTTTAGTATCACTGTACTATTTAATCATTTTATTTATTTATTTCATACTATTCGTGTTTACATTAGTACTTAAAAAATATCAATATTGACATATCCCACTCGCCCAAGGGACACCTAGGCGGGCGCCTAATCGCCTAGGCGTGTGGAAGGTGGTCTAGCGCCCAGCCTCGCCTAGTCGCCGTAACAACTATGCCGAGGAGTCATATGGTGATCTGTGAATCATATCATCACGAGTGATATATAAGAAAGTGATCTTACCTTGAAACCATCCAACAAGAAAGGCCGCCAAAGCCACTAGAAAACAAACAACTAGCATCTGAACCCTTTTCAGATAGAAATTATTTGAGGCCCAATAATGAATCGCACCGATAGCTAGAACTAGAAGAAGGAGAACTAAGAGAAATGTTGCTCCTATCTGTCATAATATGAAGTGAAACTCCTTAGAGATAAACAATAATAAGAGATAAATTAACCAATAGTATTGACTTACCCTCCAAGGATGCACTGTAACTATGATGGCCGAAATGGCACCAAGCTGAAGAAGAAGACCAATAATAATGAATATATAGGCACCTCGATAAAGCTTCCAGTTATCATCTTTCCTGATAATATTTACAATAGAGTTACTCTAAATGAGGAGCAGCTCA